GAATAGCGGCATCTTTCATCATGATCTTTTATTTTTACTTCAACAAATGATATTGTAACAATATTCTGAATATCTATACTTGTTATTTGTCTATATAAACGTACAAAAAAACAATGAAGGTAATACTTCATTGAAAATTTTCAAAACTTTTCTATATATCATTATATCAAGAAAATTCATGAGACTCATAACACTCTGTATAAATGTATATCCATTTAAATAAAAAAAGAAGATGTTTTTTTAATGTATTCTTTTTTCTTTTAGCGAAGAAAGAAATATTGTTTTTAGATTTTATATAATGTAAAAATTGTCATATTAAAAAATAAAATAAAACAAAACTTTAATAATCTATGGATCAATTTAATACATATTCAAAATCACCGATTTCTTCGTCATTTACACCAATTAGAACTACTGAACGTTCATCGATGGCTACATATGGTGATGGATATGTTTATACAGGTCCTTTAACTGCACAATATTATGAACTTCAACCAAAACCTATAAATGAAGTACCAAAACGTGCAGTATCTTATGATGATGAACAAAATTTTGCATCCTTATCACCTAGTATAAATAATCTTTCATTATCATCATCACCGTCAACTGACGTAATGAATAATAGTACCCAATATCAATTTAAAGTTATGTTATTAGGTGATAGTGGTGTTGGTACGTTTTGTTTTTGTTTTTTTCTTTTTGATTATTTGTCTATTCATTATATTTATAATATATATATATATATATATATAAATAGGTAAAACATGTTTACTTGTACGATTTAAAGATGGTACATTTCTTGCTGGAAGTTTTATTGCAACAGTTGGAATTGATTTTCGAAATAAAATTGTAGCACTTGGTGATAAAAAAATTAAATTACAAATATTTGATACAGTAAATAAAATATTAAACTTTTTCTTTTTCTTTTTCTTTTTTTATTTTAAATTTAATTTAATTTTTCTTTTTCTCAAAAATAAGGCTGGTCAAGAACGTTTTCGTTCAGTTACACATTCATATTATCGTGATGCTAATGCATTATTATTACTTTATGATGTAACATCATATTCATCATTTGAAAATATTTCAGCTTGGTTAGGTGAAATAAAAGAATTTGCACAGGATGATATTATTATAATGTTAATTGGAAATAAAATTGATAAATCACAACGTGTTGTATCAAGAGAAGCTGGTGAACGTTTAGCAAGAGATTATGAAGTTAGTTTTCTTGAAACATCAGCTAAAACAGGTCAAAATGTTGAATTAGCATTTATGGCAACAGCTCAAGCATTACTTGATAAAGAATTAACTCGGAAAAATCCTAATGGACATTATACATTTAATGATACAACTAAAATGTCTGGATTATCATTAATGAATAATAATCGAGATAATTCTAATAATATGGCAAATGGTAGCAAAAGTTCTGGATGGTGTTGTTAATTAAAAAAGAAAAAGAAAAAAGAAATGAAATTTGAAAAGAACTTATCGAGATGAATTCTAATAAAGATGTGTTTATAGTTGTGAATATTATTCTTTTTTTTTTTTTTTTTTTTTTGTCACAAAATAATAAATTAAATGACATAAATTCAGCTAAAAATATTATTTAATTAAAGTATATATTTAATAAAAAAAAAAAATGATAAAGAATTTGACATTGATCAAAAATAATTGATGTCATTTTGAATAAAATCGACAAGCATTAAAAGAAATCAATGTGTTCTTTTTGTGAATTGATATAAACATAACAATTTAGATTAAATATAATTTAGAAATTTTTTGCATAATAATATGTTTTAGTTTTGAAAAATTCTTTATTTTTTTGTCTTATTCATTAACTAATTTTGAAATTCTCTTATCAGTGAAATTGATTACTCAATAATGTCAAGATAAAATTTATTATAGCAAATACTAACATCAAGCAAATATGATATGCAAGTAGAACTAAATTCATTATAAAGATAATTCTTTTCAATTGAATGAAATACATAACGAATAATAGATAAAATTTTATTAATACGACTACGTCATTTTTCGAAAGGTATTTGATATTTTTCATTTTTTTTTAAGCATCATTAAACACCTAGATGAGTAGGTGCCTATAAGAACTCTTGACAAAGTTATAACTTGATGAAAAATGTTCATAAAATGTGTGCATGACTTTATCGAGTTTATTCAACGATTCATTAACTAAAGTTAAATAAATACTTCAGCATGCCAACATTTTTTTCACTTCGATATTTAAAGAGAATAAAACGATTTTGCCTCTTTTTCTATTAACTGTTAATTTAATTTCTACATCATGTTTAATTTATAATAAAATAGTTGAAGAGACCGATATATATATTTTTTTTCTTATGTTTTGTTAAATTTCAATAATTTTCAAAGAACATTAATCATAGAAATATTTTTTTTTTGCTTTTCTTTTATTGTTGTTGCTGCTATTATTGTTGACTATATATATATATCAGATTTCTAGCTGACAATTCTTATTCAAATGATATAAATCTAAGTAATCGATAAAGATTGATCATTAATACTACAAGATAATATTTGACATGTTTCTCATAAAAATTCTTATCTTGAATTATTTCATTAGTATTCCGCAATGAATATATGAGAAATCCTTGAGTTTTTATTTGAATACTATCAATATATGTATATTATATCATTATATTAAATATATCAATGCAGGTACTCATATGAATCTAGATAAAAAAGAAAAGACGTGTTTATACTAATAATTATGGATTTGATGTTAATCATTTCGAAATATGATATTGATTGTAAAAAACCTATCAATAATATTATTTTTATCTTTATTAATGAAACATAAAAAAAAAGAAAAGATTTGTGTTTTTTTTATTATCATTAATATTTAAGGAGAAATATCTTCATAATCATTTTAGAAAAAAAGTTTTTATCCAATTAGATTATCAATCATCAACTACAATCGGAAATAGTTCTTCTAAATCAGTTATCCATTTAATCGAAAGAAAAATTATCGATATTTTTAATAAGAATAACCGATTTATATATCACAATCTGATACAATCTATTTTGTATGCAATATGAATAATTGAAAACTTGACATACTGACGCACAAAAAGAAGATTTTTTTTTTTTTGTGTTTCTATTGAATGAAACCTTGAAAATTCTGTATGTTTTAAATTCTAAATCAATAAAATAATCAAAAAAAAAAAATTTCCATCAATGATTAATAATTTATCATTTTGTTATATATTATATCATCAATCACTGTCTAGAAAATAGGATTTTCTATCAATAGAAACTATTTATGTGAACGAATTGTAGTTTAATCATAAGCCTATTCACATCAATAAATATTCAAGTTGTTTATTTATAATAAATTTATAATCAGGATGTACTTCTAGATTGAAATCATCTTAAGGGGGATAAGAAAATGAATAAGAACAGAAAAAAATATACAAGTGGTATAGTTTCTAGGGGCATTTACTTTGATTGTCAACATCAACATAGTGGAAAGAAATAACATCTATTCTAACCTTCGAAATGTATGTGCTATTAGAGGTCGAATGATACTTAACGACCCGGAAATTAAGAGATGAAAAAAAACTGACAAAATACAAAAGAGCTCAAGACAAATATTCTAAATAAATAACTATACATACCCGAACAAATAATAAGAGAGAAAAAAAAAAAAGAACAGTTGTTAGAAAAATTTTTCTTTTGATTTACTTTAATAAAAATTTCTTTGATAATAAGTTTTCATAAACAAAAAAACAAATCGAAAATTTTCTTTGTTAAGAATTTATTTTTCTTCTTAGTTGAATAATGACTATCATGAATTATTTTACACATATATCTTCTTTTAATCTATTAGACTTGTTCATTGTTTATGTCGAAATGATTAATGTATGAATACTTTCAAACAAATTTCAATCGACCATATCCTTATCAAAGACTAATGAGTTGAGTACATTAATGAATACTATTCATTCATATCTTCTACTACTCTTCATTTGATATCATCATCATTATTGAACTTCTTATCTCTGAACAGAAGCATTCTTTTTCTTCTTTATATACCGCCATTCTAAATAAATAAAACATTTCTAAACGACAGCATCATATCTTTTTACTCTAAAATAAACATTTATGATATACATGTATCTAGATATATATATATACTATGGTATTTTCTGTTCAATTTCTCTTGACATACAATATTATAATATCATCAAACGATAGAAAAAAATTCTTCATGTCTCGAGCGATAAACTCATTTGTCCATTTTTTTTTCGCTTATATAGATAGAAAAAAACAACATTTGCTCATGAAGAAGAAACAAGAAGGAAATAAGATCATTTCTATGGTTCCATAGAGTAATAACATCAGACTGATTGAATTCTTTGTTTATCTCCAGAGAGTGACGGAAATGATTATCGGGCGGAGATAATTCTTTTTTTTTTTGTTTTCAATTACAAACGACATTCGATAATCAAAAATAGATATTGGAATAAATTCATATTTGAGTTCTTTTTTTTTCTCGATCAGCAAAAACAACAACAACAATAAAAAGCAAAAAAACGAGAGAGAGCGAGAGAGAAAGAGCGATAAGCCGTCGATAAAAGAACTTATAAATAATGTTCAAGTTATATATATGTTGTTGTCTTTTTTCAATTTGTTCATAAGGCATCAATATAATTCATTTTTTCCTCTTTTTTCAATCTGACACAACAAACATAAACAGAACAAATAATAAAAAAAAAAAAAAAGAAGGAAAGAAAATTTTAACGGATAAGAATGAGAGACCGAACAATTTAAGTTATATTTTTTTTTGTTTTTGTTAGCTGTTGATGAAAGTTTTATACGCATACGCACACATATTAAATAAAATAGAATGAGAAAAGAAATAATACACACACACACGCGCGCGAGCATCTACAATAAAGCAGAAAGCATTCTCGGGATAAACAATCTAATATGTAGAAAAAGAAAAGAAAAGAAAACAAAGTTTTTCAAAAAAGTTTAAAGCGTTTTTTCAGATCAATACGACGCCATTCTGGTAAACGATAAAAATCGGTTCGTGTCATTTGGAATAATGTATGAAATTCATTATCAGACAGATGACGCTAAGAAAAAAAAAATCAAATATTAAAAATAAAAATTTTCATGTTAATAAAAAAATTTATTATATACCTCTAGACGATCTCGATCAACATCTGACGGTAATCGTTTCTTAGACATTACTTTTAATTCTTCATATGTATATAATTTTGGATTACCCATTAATGTTGGAGCTGAATGAGTTGAATGTGCATGCTGAGAAGCTAAATATCGACGATCACCACCACCACCAACATCAACGGTCTAATCAACAAAATTTTCCGTAATAGTAAAAATATATAATTCAATAAAAATTCTAATACCTTTACTGATTTATTATGATCTCCATCATGTGAATCTAATAGAACAAAAACAAACAGATATTCTTTTTAAAATGATAATAAAATTATATATTTACAGCATGAATTTGTAGTTCCAAGATCTGTTGAATCTAAATCACAACTTCTTTGCATATCAAGACAAGTTGGTAATGTTTGAGCTTTAGGTGATGGTGTTAAACCATAACCAGGTCGAAGAACTATAATTCAAAAAAAAAAATAAATATCATTTCTATTGTTTTTCTTTTCATAATTAAAATCAAAGGCAATCTTCAATAGATGAAAAGAAGATGCGTGTTAAAGTGCAAGAACAAGGTCAAAAAAAAAGGAGCTCTCTGTATCAAACCTGGTGTCTGCCTGACAAAATCATATGCAATAGGACCTAAATTTTTTTTATGATTAAAATCTCTTTTAACCAAAAACAAAACAAATTTTGAAAACAAACGAACAAACTTTCATACTTTGTTGATTATATCTTGGTAATGTAATACGTTTTCCACCGGCTGGTGTTGTTGATATTGATGTTGATAAACCAGCAAGACTATCATCTGGATTTGTTGTTGATGATGAATGTGTATGAACACGTCTTGATGGTGATGCAAATTTAGGTGAATCAAAACGACAACGTCTTGGTGGTTCGACAGCTGCTGATGGTGAACGTGATGCTTTCCATGGATCAAGTGGTAATTGTCTTGAGATTAATTTTTCTTGTAAACGTAAATCTTCTAATAAAGCATGTGCCATACCTGATGTATCTTTTAATTTTGACATAATACTTATATCTTTTTCTAATTGTGTATCATGACGTATTTCACCATCAGTTGTATCATCATCATCATCATCATCATCATTTAAATTTTCACTAGTTATTGTTATATCATCTGTTGTTGTTGTTGTTATTGTTGTTGTTTGTTGATCATGATCATTAGATAATGGAGATGGATGAGTTGATGATGGTGATAATGTATGTTTTTTAGGTGTTGTTTGACTATGATGATGAGAACGATTTGAATGTGTTTCTGTACGAGATTCACTTCGACTACGATGAGATTTCATTAATTCGGGTACAGCTTGTATAGCTATAGGTGCTGGCCAATCAAGTGATTCGATTTTTTTTGGTGCTGTTGGATCAGGTATAAAACCACCTGAATAACGTGAAAGAACAATAGGTTCTTCATTAATTGTTGGTGTTTGAGGATGTATTGGAGATGTTGAATCATGTGTTAGAGTTTTTTGATTAGACGATATCGATTGTGATGATATTGGAGATGATGTATGAGGTACAGAACAATGTATTTTACGAATTTTTGTTTGACCTAGAAAGAAAATAATTTTGTTGAATCATCACACGAAAAAACAAAACACCAATTTGAAACATACCAGTTACTAATGCTTTCATGCCTTTTTTAGTTCCTGGTACAGTAAATGTTTGTGTTCGATTATATGAAAAACCGACTACAAAAGAATAATAATGAGATTAATTTTTTATACAAAAAAAAAAAGAATCCTGCTAATTTTAGTCTTATATGTCTTGAGTATGTCAGAAAAAAAAACAACCTCTTTAATTATTATTATTATTATTATTATTTGTTTTATTTATCTTATTTGAATATTAAAATATGATATTTAACATCTGTCTTATATCATTTCTCTTTATAAGTCAAATCATATTTCGAACAAATTAAATCATAATTGATGGAAATTTTCTTTTTTTTTCTTAATAAATACTAAATAAAGCTCTTTACGTGACGTATAAACATATTCATACATATTATATATATATATATTCTCTTTTTTTAACGCGCGCGCACATATACATACACACGTAAAACCGATTATAGGCATTCTATATGTATCATGATCGCCTGCAGACAGTGTGCCACTTAGCGATTGCTCTTGGACCTTTCAACGCATAAATGGAGAGAGAGCTTTGTTTCATTACATCATCAGTAAAAATTTATCATCTGTAAAGTTGAGAATATTGGTCAAGTGAACACAGCCGTATAAATATGAATAACATATAGAATTAAGTTATGGATCTACTATATTGAGCTTATAGAAAAGAAAAAAAAACATCAAAATAAAACAATTGTTGTATGATATAAAGTTGATATAATCTTTTGTTGTTTATCTTGGTTTTTTTTTTTGTTATTTGTGCTTTTGCTCATTAATAATGATCAGATGAAGTAAGAAGCAGACAAGGTCATTATTATGAACACCTACCCATTTCTTTTCGTAATGATGAAACTTGCTGATAGTGATGAGGATGATGAACTATTAACATTATCGATCGTTTGAGTTTGTATATGTCGTCTTCTTATCGGTTCGTTGTTAATAGGAGTTACAAATACAAGGCAAAACTGTGTGTGTGTGTGTTTTGCTTCTCTCTCTCTCTCCTTTTTTTCTTTGTCTTTCTCGTTTTTCTTTTTTTTGCTGTTCATTTCTTTTTTTTTTCGTTCTTTCCATCTGTTATAGTTACTGAGAATGTTTTCTACAACGTTAGTAGTCATATATTTTTGAGCTATCGCATTCAAATTTCTCACATATGACATGTTCTCTACTCCATTGTGTTACAAGGTCAACGAGTTGGCTACATATATATTTTTTTTTTCATTTCTCTTCTCCAATCTTCTTTATCATTTGTTCATCTCAATCTAACTATTTTCTTTTTTTCTTATTCTTTCTTTCTTTTCTTTTTTAATATATATATATATATATATATTCAGAACTCCGGAAACATACGAATGAATAAAGGAAGAGGAAAAAAAATCCTCATCAGCTGTCGATTAAATATTCAATGCTCATGATGATCGACAGAATAATAAAAATTGAAAGAAGGTCTATGGATCATATACACAGCTGGAAATAAAACAATTGGATAGAGAATAAAGGGCGTGTCCACCTGCCGATTACTCAATCGATATATTGCTCTTTCTCTATCTGATTTCTTTTCTTCTCTCTTCAAACCGTGTAATCGATCTCATCATAAGACAGTAACAGAAGTTTCGTCGTCACCTTTCAAGCGAAACAAATTATTGTTATCGTGAATAGCTATTTGCCTGTTTCTCTTGCGTCATTGCTATTCACTCATCCTTCATTACACAACGAAATCGATCAGCCAAGCAAATCTTATTCATCTTCTTTACTATGTGTTCAATCGACACACATCATCAGTGTCATCGTACTTACTAAACTCATGAGAATATTCTTGTTAATTACAAAAATCAAAAAAAAAAAAAAAAAAAAAGAATATTTACTTGGTCGATGAAAATGTGGCGATTTCGTATATGAAGCTATATGATCACCAGGTCTTTTCATATAACCCATATTTTCTTCACAATTTATATAACCTGATGTTAAAATTCGATTAAGATCACTTGCACCTATTTGACTCGGTGATGCTAAACTCATTGAAGTCACATGACAACTCTAATAAGAAAAAGAGAAAAAAAAAACTTAAATGTCATCATGAATTATATTCAATATTTAAATAGGTATCTATATAACATTCTCGTTGACACTTCATATGTATTGTTAGTCACGAATAGTAGTTTAGTAAATTAGTTTAGTTTTTTTTTTTTTTTTAAATCTCGAAATCAAACTAAATCACCTTTCGTTTTTCATAAGAAGAATGACAAGAAAATGAAGAAGAAGTTTCTGTCTGAAAAAGAAAAAGAACAAAATATTTTTTTATTTTTCGATTTCATTTTTTCTTTTGTTGACATTATTCTGAAATATAAATAAAAATATTTAATTTACTTTATGTGCTGGTAAACTAGATAAAGTAATGTCTGTTAAATCACGGGGACTTGGTTCGCTTGAATCACATATATGCAATAATTTATCTGATGGATTCTGATTAGTATCAATATGAATTTTCGATGTTTGATCTATATTTGGACGTAATGTTGAAAGATTTTTATCGTATGTTATTGGTGGTGATGATGAAGTTTTTTTTGAAATCGATGATTGTAATACAGCAGATGATGAACCATCAAAACCACCTGATTCATTATCACGATGATATTGTTGTTGTTGTTGTTGTTGTTGTTTATCAGTTCGAGTTAATAAATTTTCTTTATTTTCATTAGTAATTGGAGTTATCTGATGATGTTGTTGTTGTTGCTGTTGTTGTTGATTATCAGATTTTTTTACTTTTCTATTAATTAAAACAAAAAATAAAAATTTATTTTAAGAGAACAAAATTTTCCATGGTTTGTTTTTTTTTGTTTTTAAGAAATGACTTACTTCTTCTTAAGAAATGAAAACATGACGAAAATAAATAAAACGTTCTAAAAAACAAAAAATTAAATCAATGATAATTCATGTCTGTTTAGAAGAAATAAACTTGTCTAATCTAAACAATCAATCTTCATTATTATTATTATTATTATTATTATTGTCTGGTATCACTTATTCCCTCTTCATTTCATATTCGGTACTTTTTCTTTTTCTCTTGATCTATACATACATTTCATCGATATGGGTTTCAAGACAATGAGCAATAAAGACAGAGAAAGAGAAAAAAAAGAAGGCTATTAATGGATATGAAAAGAAAAATCGACCGAATAGATGTATGAAGCACCTCCCAACTAGTTTTTTTTTTATGTACTATTACTGTCGCCAATTTTTCTCGCACGAAGAAAAAAAAGAAGCAGAAGCGTAGGTGTCTTCTTCTTCTTCGTCTTCTTGTTCTTGTTCTTTTTTATTTCGAGGACGAAGCAATGCAATATAACAAGAATAATGATGATAAATAAGGATGATCGACGCGGTGATAGTTATCTCGTAGCGTCGTACATAAGTATGCTTGAGTTAGACGACGACAATGATGAAACAGTAATAAGAATACCAACAATATGACAAGTGATGACGAATGAAACGGCAATCATATTAGTAGTGAAAAGACTAGCGTATATTACCAATAGATCGATCTGCATGTATATTACTGCCAAGACAGGCGGCGGCAGTAGTGGCAGCATCTGATACAAACGTCACAAAACAGAACAGAAGCGTTAGAACGACGTATATCTGGCAGATATTTTCTTTCTCTCTTCTTAGCCTCAATCGGCGTCTGTCGATAAACAGCGAACGATGTGCTTTCTCTCTCCTTCTCGTTTCTCTTTTCTTGGTTGGACGATTGCGCCTGTAGCATAAAGAGATCCCATTTGTGTTAGTATGTGCTACACGCGCATATATACTATGCCGATAGGTCACAGACATACGTACATATGCATACACACACACATAGTCTATTCTTTGTTTCTCTTGTGTTTCAGGTCCCGATGTCTTCCTCTGCAAACAGGAGGGGGGGAGGAGGGAAGAAGGAAATAATGAAGTGACACACATGCTTATATACAGGATGACAAAGAATGAGAGCATTTCTCGGACTTCCTTTGGTGTCACCGTCATCAATTAGAGTGCTATCAATATAAATATATATATATATATATATATATCGAATTCATTCATACATTTGCACGCTTCACGCTTTCGTATGTATATATATATATGCATTCGATTTAAAAAAAAAACTCGTATGTAATATATTCGAAAGAGAGAGCTATGCATGCGCTTATCAATATTATGCAAATATATATATACATATATATATATATATGTTACGTGTCAGTCATCAATGAATCAACGAATGCTTGAGAATACTTTTATTAGAATACAAACGAATTCTACATGCCAATCTTCTAGACTTGTTTTTGTTATTATTATATAAATTCTTTTAATTTACCTGATTGATATATTATTGTTAAGATGAATTCATTGTTTTATAATAAAAGTATTTGAGATAAATGAAATAATATAACATAACATCAAGTAAGATAATGGAATAAGTTGAATAAATGAAGAAGAAATTGTCAAAAAAAAAAAAAAGAAAAAGTTATCTATATCTCTTTGCGCTCAAACAAGCGAGCGAACGAGAGAGAGAGAGCGAGAAAATTTATTATTGCCATGATCCTTACTTTCTATCCTCTATTAAAGAACAAATAGGAATATGTTCTGTTTATGGGAATTGTATTATTCTTTTATAAAACTATTTCATAATTCTTTGAAATAATTACAACGAAACAAAAAAAAAATCTTTAAATATTCTTTAATTGATTTCTAGCGACATCTAAATACTCAAAAAAAAACGAAATTTCACAGTTAAATCTAATAATGAAACAAAAAATAACCCTATAAAATATCGTTTCGTTTTTTATATTGATTATCATTCAGATTTATCCATTGATAAATATAACGAACCGATAAAAAAGAAATCAATCTCTCTCTCTTTCAGTAAGTGTTTATTTTCTTATACGTTTCGAATGACGCAAAAAAAAGAAGGAAAACGTCAACACACATCATAGTTTTGTTTTGTTTTTGCATTATATTCAATTTTAAAAATTCCTAGTGATTAATTATTTTTTTGTCATTATATATTTATTCTAATTATTAATTTATAGATCTTCTAAAATCATGACTGTATTATCAACTAAAAAGCCTTCAAATACTAACAGAGATTCAACATCAAATCAACAACAACAACAAATTTCTACAACAACACGAACACGTTTATCATGTGATGATGATAATAATGAACAATCTAATGGAATAAATTTAAATGATGATTCAAATGAAACAAATATTATATCATCATCATCTTCTCTTACAACAACAGATAATTTACATTCAATGATGACAACAACAACATCATCATTATTATTTAATAATCCAAAACGTAAATCATATTATAATCAAAAATCTCGACGAAAATGTACTTCAATTGAAGAAAATTCATTAAATGAAAATGATCAATATAATAGTGAAGATGAATATGAACAAACAACAATGAAATATGATCGAAATAATCTCAATGAAGTTTGTTATATATATATATATAAATCATTTTTTAATTTCTTTTTTTGTTTTCTATTTAGCTTGAAATGCATTTTGCAAAAACTTTAAAAGAAAAAAAAGGTTTTATAATTAAACCTGTACAAGAAGATGGTGCATGTTTATTTCGAGCAATATGTAAGTAACGCAAAAATAAAAAAACAATTTCGAATGAATTTCTTTTTTTCTTTTTTTAGCTGATCAAGTATTTGGTGATGAAGAAATGCATTCTATAGTTCGCCAAAATTGTATGGATTATATTGTAAGTCTTTATAAAATATGAATATTTTCATTTTTTGATAAATTTATTATTATTATTATTTTGTTTAAGGTAAAAAATGCTGATTTCTTTCGTGCATATATTACAGAAGATTTTGATCAATATATAACACGAAAACGACGACAAAATTGTCATGGAAATCATATTGAAATGATTGCACTTTCAGAATTATACAATCGACCTATTGAAGTTTATGAATATAGTATAGGTAATTATTTATTTAATTGATAATTAAATATTCTTTTTTTTTTTTTTTCTTAAAGAACCAATTAATATTGTACATGGAATGTATAAAACAGATAATGAACCTATACGTTTAAGTTATCATTGTAGTGTACATTATAATTCAATTATTGATCCTTGGAGACCAACAGCTGGTCATGGTCTTGGACTTCCTGATCTTGAGCCAGGAGTATAGATTGATGTTTTGTTGTTATTGTTTTTTTGAATATAAATTTTTAAATTTTAGCGTGCTCAAGAATCATTAATATCAACAGCATTACGTCAATCTGAAGAAAGTCATATTGAACGAACTATGCTTGATGATAAATTAGCTGCAACAGATTGGGAAGCAACACAAGATGAACTTATACAACAAATTACCAGAGAATCTTATTTACAATGGTTATGTGATACTAATCAACAACAGAATGATAATAAAACGGTAGTAGAAATTACATTGAAAGTTTTCATTATATGATGATTATTAACCTTGATTCGACTACCTAAAGGGAGAGAAAAAAAGCACTTGTTATCCACCAAGAATTTGTATGGATTGAATATTAATAATATACAAATGATTCTCATTTTATAATAAAATGTCAGAAATTATACTAAAATGCAAACGTAGAGAATCTATCTATACATGTTGAGGAAAATTATTTACCTATAGGAACATTTATTTTTATTCATTTGAGAATTCAAATAGAGAAAAGATAAAAAGTATTGCAATAGTTTGTTTATTTAACTCTACAGGCCATTACTTTGTTCTATTTTCGTCAGAAAAATTGAGATGATAGCTCGAGGTTTGATCTTTCTTTTTGTTTGATACCTCGTTGATAATTTCCGTTAGTTTCTACTTGAAAAATATACTTTATTTTTCAGAAAAACCAGGAAATCTTGTTTTGTTTGTTCTCGATTTATACTTATTTTGATTGCACATTTCATAATTCTCGAGGGAGTTTTATTGTAACACGTTTTTTTGTTTGTTTGAAAGAGAATGTAAAACTGTAATACAACTTTTTATTATTATATTAAAAAAGCATTTCTATAAATAGATGACCAGTTTTTTTTTGTTTGAGTTTTATTGAACTAGTCATTTTTTTTCTCTCTGCTATAAAAAGTAAGGAGATTAATAATAGAAAGGGCACTGCAATCTCTGACATGTTCTTTTCAATAGAAAAAAAAAAATGTCTATAGAATGAGAAGTGACAGATAACGAATGAACTCTTATTGATTGAATATCTTCTGAAAATGTTATGATACGAAGCTGAAAATTTCATACGATTTAAATGTATCTGGTTCAAGATTGATTTTTAAGGAATTGGCCTTACCGAATGTTAAAATCGATTTTTAGTTTTTTTTTATCATATGAATTTGAAAATTTTCTTTTTATAGACATTATCTTCAAATTTATCATCAGTAACAACATCGGATGAAATTTCTAATACTAATGAAAGTAAATTGAAAATTTTTATTGGAAAAAAAAAGAAATTTGTTTTTTTGTTAATGTTTTGTTTTAGTAAATTCACCAAAAGATTTATTACCATTAAGACTTGATGAACGAAAAGATTGTGAATTTGCTTTACCATTTCATTATGAAGATAATACTTCATCAAATCTTAATGATGATGATGATTCATTAATCAGACAAGTTCTTGCTATGTCACAAATTGAATATATTGAAAAATTAAAACAACAAGAATCATCAAAATCTAATGATCTTAATGAAACATCATCAGACACAAATGTTTTATAGTTTTTTTTTTTTTTTTTTTTTTTATTAAATTTATTTTTTCGTCTTTCGTCTTTGTTAATTTCTATTCTATTCTATTGATATTTACTAAATATAGAATATAGCATCCGAAAACAGGCAATGGATGT